TCGGTGGAAATTCACTCTTTTTTTCTGTCTACAATAGTAAAAAATAATAATAATGTGATGCCTGAAATCCTCGTCTGGTCAGATTAAGCAATGAAACGAGAATCTGTGCAACATTCTATTTTTTCTTTACTCTACAATTTAGGAATCATTTGAATTTCAAAATGTCCAAAAATGCTTCAGTGAAGTTCACACATTTCTGTCTGTTACAGTTTCTCTGCGTGAACAATAGCGAAACACACAAGTCTAACCATTTTCTGAAGAAGCCTCCCCCGGCTTTGTTTTGTCGCAGTCCCTCTGTACCTGCCAGCAAGTTGTCTGTTCCTGCCGCTAACAACAAATTTATTGGCTCAGGCCATTTGCAAGAACGGAAACTGCTTTGCATTGCGAGAAATAAGTCTGGAACAAAACAATGGTTCTTCTTGTGAAATATGGCAGCAGGGTCTCACCTTTGGCTCGCTGTGCCTGCTCCCCCTGCTTATTTACGTAAGCACGACGCGTCCTGTACCCCATCAGGAAGAGGTGTTTCAGGAAAACCAATTCTGAGGTGAGATACAGAGTAAACTCTCAGCATCGACTGGGCCCCAAAAGACACCTTGTGTGATTTCAAAAAGGAGGTGAAGGAAAGGGTAAACGCGAGTGTGACCCTGCGCACTGGACTCCACAGGGAGCCTGGAATCTGCTTTGTGGAATTTGATTGCAGGCTGGCTTGTTTCCACATTGCTGGCAGGTTATGCTGACCAGCTACATAATCTGTTCATTGTATTTCTTTCTAGCATTACCGAATATCATCCAGCTGCCTTTGGTCCATATTCAACTCTAACCTGCAAAAGGTAAACAGAACAACAGGGTGCACTTACACTCTAAAAACAGTGGGAAACAAAACAATTCTGGTTATCTTGCAAGCCCAATTTTGGGACGATGCAGCACAACACTGCTGGGATAGAGAACTGGGTTGGATTCTCACCCAAACACTGGGTTCAAGTGACTAGAGTGATTTATTGCCTATTTGTTGGTAGGTATTCTTTGATTCTCTCATTCGCTAACATTTTTTGTGGGACGAGACTCCAAATTATTCAGTGTTGAAATCTGTGCAAGGCCCAATATCGGGTACCGAGAGTTCCACAGTGCTTCTCAGAACCTATTAGTGGTGTCATTTTGACCCTTTCGCTGGTCTCAATTGTAACATTGAACTCAAAAAGCATTCCATTCTAAGTAAATACTTACACATCACAATGAAACAGATTGAGCTGCTGTACTTGGACTACTACAGTCCTATGCATGTATTCACATTTATGAGCTGCTGGTCTGGGACGGAGAATAAAATTATTTAATGTGTGAGTGTTTCCTGGTTGAATCAAGATGAAATATCATCAACAACCATAAAGTGACAGCTGGCAAAGCTCTTAAAAGTTTTCAGTAAGTATGATTGAATTTTTGTAAAGTGCCTTGAGATGACTTTAGTTGTGAATTGGCATTATATAAATAAACTGAATTGAATTGATTGTGCAGTTTACTTAAAGATCACTGTAAGAAAACTGTAAGTGAACTAGCATTCTGATGACGTTCGCGGTAGATTCTAATAAGTGGTAAAACCTCCATCCATCCAGCAGTCATTGGGCGAGAGGTGAGGTACACCCTGGACAGGTCGCCATTCCACAGCAGGACAACACAGACATACAGTCATTCACACTCACACCTAAGGACAGAAGAGAGAACCACAGTTAATCTAGCAGTCATGTTTTTCAGCTGTAGAAGAAAGATATATCTTTGGCGTTTATATATCTCTATCCTCATATTGTAAATGAACTCCAACATAAAGTTAATATCCATACACAATAAAAGTAACATTTAAAAAGTAAGGTTTAAGTTCAAAAGCTCTAAACATCACAAAGTTGCTCCTGCGGCCTTTCTGACCTACTCCTGGGCCCCCTAATCTGTCCACCCCCAACATCGTCCTTCATCAGCAGAGAGATAACTGTTTGAGGCTAATGGCTCCATGTCCGCTCCCGCCGCTTCTGCAAATTTGCCCTTTCATGTTTCATGGTTGGTCCATGTAGCCTCTGACACACGAACCGACTGATTTCTGTATGTTTATCCAAGACACTGAGGGAATGTTTTGCTTTCTTCTCCCTGGGTATGAATGCGGTCAGAAATACTGACTTTGTGCATGATGATAAACCGTAGCTGAATCAAAGTAAATAAATAAAATTAAAAAGAGATCAGTTTGTCTCTTGAATAAGAGTGATTGTGTGAAGGGTAGTAAGCCCCGACAGCATTAGCACTATGGTTTAGAAGATGCAGTAATAAACTTTGGTGATGTTCCGTTGAAATTCTTACTTTAAATGAGTGAAGGTGTGTTTCAACACTCCGGAGTTGCTCTTTACACCGATCTAAATTGTCTGACAAGGCGCAGCATTATCTTGGATCTGTCTCCCTCTGGTGGCTTCCTGGAAGAATTACATAAAGCAGCCAACCTTCTTGTCGACAGAGACAAGAAGGTTGTCTCTTTGTGCTCCTTGATATTTAAAGCAGTTAAATGGAAGGATTCATATTTTATTTACCTTGAACACATGATAAAGTATATTTAAAAGAAGACACCGAGTCTATTCTAAATATGAGAAATGCTTCATGCCATCGTCATGCCAGCACTGACAGTGTCACATACGTAACTTAATCTGAAACTTCATCAATTATTGAACCTTTGAGACTCCATCACTGCTCTGTTCTGTTTCACACCATTATCAATTAATTAGCAATGACTGGCAGAATTTAACGTGCTTAAAGGGTGGCAAAGAATCACAATGTGATCATTGTCGTTAGATTATTGCACGAATGAAGCTTTGAGCTCCAGTACACTCCAGACATTCCACAGAGATTCAAGACAAGACTATCTTGATGTCAAAATAGTTAAATCAATGACGTACAATGTCTAAAATTCTTCACTGACATTAAAAAAGAAGAAACATTGTTCTTTTTGCTGATAAGCCATCCATCTGTTGTCTTTGCAGCAGGTCAGGAATGGAAACCCAGACTTCCCTCCACCCAGTGACACTTCAATTCTTCTTGGGGTTTTTCAAGAAGTTTCACTAAAGAAGGGATAAGAAGTTGCTAGTTTGGCAAATTCTGCTTTTGTCTTGGGGTCTCCTCTGAGGGAGATCTGAATGGATAACCTCCAAAAAAAAAAAAGACATGAGGAGGCATCCTGACCAGATGCCACTTCAGCTGAAAACATTCAAAAGGCATTGGCCTGAGTCTGACCTCTGACCAGGCGATGGGGCTATTTGACATGTCATGAAGGCTGTCCAGACACTCTACTGAGGAAGTAGGGCGTCCATCCAGAATCTTGTTCTTTCAGGGATTATCCACATCTCAAGACTGTAGATAATGCCGCAAGTATAAATAGCTGTAAAATTAGGTCTTTGCCTTTTGACTCGGCGCTTCTTGACCAGAACAAGGGCAACACCACCACTAACGCAGCTAAAATATCCGATCTGGGTAACTCTGAGACCTCTAACTAATTTCACCACATTTTTGTGCAAAGAATACATGCTTCTGGTTTTATTGATACCAAACACTCTGTAAAAACAGTTCCAGCACTCCATGTTCCCACAATACTCCCACAACAGGAAGGGACACAGCTTTCTTGTGGTCCTCAAAACACATGTGGACCAGACAAATAAACTCCAATATATTAAGAACTCTGCAGTATCAACTCTCTGGTTTGTTGTTCCATGACCCATAAAAAAAATCTACACTACTTGTTCAACAATTTTCCAATCACTTTAAGCCTAAGCCTAGAACAAATGTTCCCAGAGAGGCTGGGATGTTTTCCCTTTGATGGAACACATTTAGTTGTACGTGTTTTTTTAATATGTGCATTGACATAGTTGGGCAGATATGACACATGCCATCTTTTTTTCATCCAGTATTTCAATTAAAAGTTAAACTTTAGGAAAACAGTCTAAAAGACGCAACATAACATCCACAAGGGATCGTGTATTTGAAGCAGAGAGCCTAGCGCCATCAACAGTTTCAACGATCTAATGGCAGGAAGAGCCTTGGCGCACAGTCAGAGACTAGCCCTCCTCACGCAGGCCAATGCCACGCCACCTGTCATCAACAGCAGGTCTTACAAAAACAGAGGACCCTGCAGGAATCACGGGACCGGGCAGAGAAAACTCTCCACGCGGTATTTTTTTTTTTTCCAGAGACGTTGGATTCATTAAAATGAACAAATACATGCTGGGGAAGCTCGCAGTGGTTGTTGTTGTCCCGGCCCCGTCAGCCTCTGATGTGGCGCATCTCAGCTGCATCAAGTAATGTATGATTTGCAGGTCGGAACAGGAAGTCAATGGATCTTTGTTTCCAACGGATCTTAGTTTCAAAATAAAGCGCTACATTTCTGTACATTTAGTTAGTTAGTTAGTTAGTTAGTTAGTTAGTTAGTTAGTTAGTTAGTTAGTTAGTAGAACCACTATGTCCTCTTCAGAGGTCCCCAACCCCAGAGGCTTATTTTTGCTAGACAGCCGCGAGTTAAGAACTTTGAAGGTTTGAAAATTGATAGCTGGCATAAATTATAAAATGAGCTTGTGAACATGTTTGAAAAATAACATAGCAGATTTATTTTTCAATGAAAAGAAAAGGAGAATGTTCGCCATCACCAGAGCAATAGATTAAGAATTTAGATTTGCTTAAAATGCAAATGTAAAATGTAAATCTTCATGGCTCTGTTGAGTTTTTACAAATAACACATAACAATAATTTGCACCAGACAACTTTATATTTTTGTCTGAATCATTTAAATATCAAATCAGACCTTGTGATCAGTTACTCAGAGACAAGCAGACTTTTCATGGAATACCTTTAATTTTAACTTGAGCTAAAATATATTATATGCTCTCACTTGAATACCTTTTTTATTTATTTTATTTTATTTTATTTTTTTGGCCAATCTGCCCACCTCTGACACCATCACTGTCGGCACTATGGACTAGTAAACAACAAATGTAATTGTATTCCTGTTCCGTGGGTTGGTCTTTTACTTCCAAACCACGGACCGGAAGCCCTGTGTGTCGCTTATTGCCGCTGCCTCGACTGATCTGTGCGCATCTGATCGAGCTGGAATAGCAAATTGGGAACATTTGGGCCCTCTCTCCCCCGCTGCACCGTAAGCCTCCGTGTTTCCGTCTCTGCAGCGGTCGCGCTGGCGTCGCGGGGACCGGGCGAAGCGTTCCTGTTATGACAGCGACGGGATGACAGCGGTCCAGTCGGAGCCGTGTTTGTTTTGTGTGGCGAAATGAGGCAGGGGGTGGAGAGTCGCCACAGAGACGCTGGGCTCCGGCCAAACATCGCCGCATTTTAGCACCACTTCTTCTTCTTCTTCTTCTCCTCCCTTGCATGCAAGGGCTTCTGCACTGAGCTGCGTCGCTGATCGACCCGCTCGTTTTTTCTTTCTTTCTTTTTTCTTTTAAAGACATCTATCTTTGCAAGGTGCATGGTGGAAAATGCAGCTTGTTTGAGGACACCCCCCCTCCACCACCACCACCTCTCTCTCCCTCTCCTCCACATATCCATCGCTGCCATGACAGGCAGAGGTCTCCTCCGGAGCTCGGCTCGGTCGCTCGGAGAGCAGGCAGATTGACTCGGGACGGAGGGGCCTCGCATCCGCGGATGCCATTCTGTCTGTGGATCCTGTAAACACCGTCCGAGCAAATACACGGCGAACGTCGCTGGAGAACTGGGGGGGTGGGGAGAGGAAAATTAAGAAGGGGTGGGGGGGAGAGAGAAAGAGAAGGAAAACATGTCGTCTCGATCTGCATTACAGTCTGGAAACGACAGGAGCACCGGAGAACATGTAAGTGCAGCCGCTGTTTGTGCTTGTGTGCATGCAGAGGGATAGGATAGGTGGTGCATCTCCGAGCACAGATCTGCTATGTGTGGCCTTTGGCATTCTGGGCTTTTTTTTCCCTTTTTTTTTTCCATGTGCATGGGGGGAGGGTGGGATGAAGAGGAAGAGGAGGAGGGGAGCATGCATGGTGCTGTTTCTTCTCGTTCTGTACAGATCAAGGGGCCCAGGATGTGAGGCCACCGTGCTGCTCTTTGGGAAAGTGCTAACCTTGAGTGTGTGCGTGTGTGTGTGTGCAGGGAGACGAGTTGGTGGCAACCTGAGTCGATATCGCTTAGCAAATATGCGCAGAAAGCATGAAAACCAGCCGTCACATCTCTGTATATGTACCTCTGTGGAGAGATAGTAATGTCACATTATACCCCTTTCCTCTCCTCTCCTCTCTCTGTGTGTGCGTTCTCTCAAAATCGGATGGGTGGGACGAGTGCAGGAGGCCCAGATATAAACGCATAGAGGGGCTTGTTGGTACGAAGTGGAGGGGATTACTGCGTAAAATGATGTGCAGTCCGTCGCTGCGCAGCCTACAAAGCGCCCAGCCCTACAGCCAGTGGGTGTCAGACAGGCCATACATTGTACAGGGGAACAGAGGAGAAGCCTGCGGGAAAGACACAACACATCTATCTATCTATCTATCTATCTATCTATCTATCTATTGAGCATTGATCTGTCTCTTAGTGCAGATCTTCTGTATAATTAGGTCTTTGTGACAGATGAGTGAATTGAGCAGATATCACTGGTCCCATGATGGCTCAGGTGAAAAGCCTGACAGGAACTCTGCTGCTCTCCATGTGTGCCCCACACTCCACCCCCCACACCACACCACTTTGCACCCCCCCCTTCCCCCCGCCAGCTTCTCAAGCTGTGCTGGAGGTAGGGAGGTGGGAGCAGGAATAGAAGCACCATGTCTGAAGGTGGGGCACGGGGCTGTGGGCTTGTTATTGTTGTGTAACTGCAGCCTCTGGGATTGCACTGTTGGCCTGTTCGGCTACAGACCTCTAAGCTTCCATAAGCCACTCTTTCCTCCTGTTGGCCACTTTGCACCTGTTCCAGGCGTGATATTATCTTCTTGCCCCTTTTGGTTCCAGATATGAGGGTTTATGTCTGCTGACGTTGCCCATTTTCAAATAATTCAGATGTGTTTACTGAAGTGAGGTTCTGTGAGGCAGTTATTAGTAATCAGTGTTTTACCCATGGTAGATTCTCATACAGGAGTGAGTTCATCAGCTGGTCCTAACCCGTTTGTGTTAGATGGTTGTTTACTTTGTTGCCGTTTCTTCCAGTGGAAATTAGATGAACAAACGATATATCGGCATTGACATTGGTATCGGCTGACATTAGTCATTTTTTAACTTATCGGCATTGGTCCGATAACCAAAACTGGGATGATGCTAACAACCGGTACTTTTTTTTTTCTCCCATCTTTATGCCATTATGGAGGGAGATGGAAGGAGGTTGGGCAAGTGGTATTGGTTGGTCATGTGTTAATGATGCAGCACAGCATTGTGGGTAGTTTAACTGAAGCAGTGGTGAAGTCAGCTTTATGATTGTTTCAGTCATATTGTTGAAAAGGTAGCGAAACGTCTATAATAACAATCAGTCAGAGCAGAAGAAGAAAAAAAAATTACGCTTGCTCTTTTTGAAAGAACATTTGCCAGGTCTGCTCTTCTGATATCTCGGAGAGAAATCATTTCACTTTTTATTTCTTTCCCACTTGAAAGTCAGAATGTCATGGTTCCATGTCCAAAGAGACAAACCGAAACAACCTCTGATGTTAGGATTCAAATTTGGAAGGTCAGCGGTCTCTTGGTGGGTTTTATTTGTAATGGGCCAACAAAAAAAATAATGGCAGCCATCTCTGCGGGTGGAGATGCATTTAGAACACCTGAGGCTTGTTACTAACCTTAAGAAGAAGCATTCGACTGCCAGTGTTCTCATAATTCGAAAGAAACTTGCACAGGTTTGCTTTTGCACAAGTATTAACTGGAAAGTAAATCCTCCATGAACCAGGATGAGTTTTGAACGGAGAGACCTCAGAGAGGTGGCGAATCTGCAGCTGCGTATTATCTACCCTGACACCAGAACAAATATGGCTGCCGTGCAAATGGACTTAAACTACGGTTATAAGCTTTTGGTTCTTCTGATTGCGTCATTAAATCAATGACACACATCAGTAAATGTGGTAAAAGGATGAAATTGTGGAGAAATTTATTATTAGCTTGTGCTAATGGTAATAGTTAGCCTAGCCACAGAAGAGTTTCAGAATCCAATATGGCTGCCACCTGAATAGACTTAGTGTAAGCTATAGTTATAAACTGTTGGTTATTTTGCGGCACAAGCCAGTAAGAATAGTAAAAGGGGGAAACTGTGGACAAAATCATTGTTAGCTTGTGCTAATGGTAGTAGCTAGCCTAATGGTAATAGTTAGCCTAGCCACGGAGCAGTACAACAAGTGAATCTTACATGTTTTCTGTGTTGCAACCAACAGATTAGCTTTTACCAATGCAGAGCTAGTGATAACTATTTCACACCTCCGATATCCATTTAACTCCCAGCCGTCCCACATGCATCTCTGTATTAAAAACAACGTGACTCAATCTTTTTATCATCAGTGTTGCACAACTATTATTTTAGTCAACAATCAAGAAACAGAAGAATCGTTTCTGCAAACCCCAGAAAACAGCCGCGCCTCGCTCCACAGAAACGGTGTGAACAAGTAGCAGGAGCCCAGAAGTAAGACCATTCAGAGCCCAAAAAAAGACACAACATGCTCATGTGCTGGACAGCAGCTGTTTACCCAGAAACAAGGGGCATGTAGTCACATGAAGCTCAGTTCAGCTTCACTTGTTTTCGAACATCTGGAGGAATGTACCCACCAATATTTAGCTCTCCCCTATAGCGCTATACAGGCATCTGCTTAGCAAAAACAACAATTTCAGATGCTCTTATGTTTTTTTTTTTCTTTTCAGAGTGTTCAAACATCTGTAAATCAGTGCAGCTGTCTGGAAAACAGTCTTGTCTTCTTTTCTTGAACCCTGTAATTCTGCCAGCCTGCCCAGTGGGCCCTCAGCTGTTAGCTTGTCTGTGTGCACAAATGGCGTGTGTACGCACATATGCTTTGATAAGTGACTGTCCTCTAATTTCAAGAAGGGGTCTGTATTTAGCCAAGTACAGAACACGTATAACTATTGCAATGTTTTCATTTTTCTGTAAACCTTTGAATACCGATCTCAACTGAACATCTTAAAACAAAAACATTTAAGAACACAGAGTATTCTTAGAATAACGATTATCGTGGTTAGCAGGGTTAGCATGGTTAGCCTTAGCTAGCAAATGTAAGCAGAGTGTACTTTCGGTTTTACAGTTGAGGAAATGCTTACTTTCTACAACATTTTTAACACATCATCATCGGATTACGATTAGCAGCAGGACTTGATGAAAGAACCAAGGACTAGATGAGCTGGTCATGTCAGATCTGGATAAGAATATCAAAGCTTTCCTCTCATTAAAACTACTTATTTCTAAAAATTGTACGACTTTAATATTGAGACTTTATTCTACTAATATTTTGACTTTTACTCTTGTATAATTATGACTTTATTCTCAAAATGTCAATAAACAAAACTTTAAAATATTTGAGCCCTACTACTTAATTTCTGTGCTCCCTCTAATTAAATTTAGAATAATATTGAAAAGCCTGTTTATTTTAGGAACTTTGTCGCCCGATTAAACACAACATATGGAATAATTACACAAGGATGGATGTTTGAAAGCCTTTATTTCTTTTAATTAGGATATTTCTCCACTTACAGCTAATACAAACTCGACATTTGAAGTCAATGACCCAAATGTTATGAGACCAATAAAATAATATATTTTCGAAAACAGAAACATGGGTTTTGTGAAAAGTAGGTTTAATACCTGCTTATAGGTTGTTATTTCCAAAAGCTACTTTTAATCTAGACGAATATTCTAATTTATTGAGATGGACTGAAAAGTATAGTAGAAACCAGAGTTTAGAAAATGTCAGGATTTATCCTACAAATCCTCCTGGTAATTAAAGAAATAATATTGTTCTAACAAAACAGGTTTTGTTAATTGAGTTTAGTGTACATTTAAGGGTACATCCCCCCCCCCAAAAAAAAAAAAACGATTTTGGGGAAAGATTTGAAAGTGCCAGACTCCAAACGAGGCTGCTGCTGCTGGAGCGGGTCAAGCTGGTGCTGCAGCGTGTCATGCTGGTGCCGACCTTCTCTCCACTCCCTGACGCTCCCCTCTTTTCTTGCAGCATGTGCCGCTCGGTGCCAGCCGCGCAGACAAGGCCACGAGCCAGTCCAGCCGCTCTCTGGGCGCCCGGTGCAGGAACTCCATCGCCTCCTGCTCAGACGAGCAGCCGCACATCGGCAACTACCGTCTGCTCAAGACCATCGGCAAGGGAAACTTTGCCAAAGTCAAGCTGGCGCGCCACGTCCTGACATGCAGGGAGGTGAGCCATGGGGCAGCAGAGACCCCCGGGTGGCGGCAGGAAGAGGATGAGTGGGCTGAATATGTTGTTGATAGAAATGTTTCCTGGGCGAGGGAAGGCGGTAACTTCACAGTGCTGCTGGGGCTCTTCCTGTTGTCCTGTGGGCAATAATTTCAGAGAACTCAGTGTTGATTAATTACAACCATTCTGGTCAGTATGGAATAAACACATTCAAATATAACTGATACATTGTTTTTGCTTTGCTACATGTCATCTTAAAGAGTATTATATAATATCAACAACTTTACATAATGTTATAATGTTATAATGTTATTCCCTCATCATCTGGAGTGTTGCTTTGATTCTTTTATGCATGTTTGAGAAATCCTTTAATCTCCCCTGGCAACCATTCAGCTGTGCAAAACACCTGGGTGGACCCAGCTCTGCCTTTGAAACGCAGCTTTTCCTTAGAGCTACAGTTTCCACGTTTCTGTCTCACACAGCAGTCCTCTCCCCCACTCGGCTCCTTCAGACTAGCCAGCAGCAATTAGCAGGCACCTGTTGGAACTGCACTTCTTTTGAGCTTCTTATGCAAGCTACTTCTCAGTGCAGTGCTAGTGAAATTGTTGTTAAAGGGTTAATAGAGGATTAATGTTGTGATGACTTCCTGAAGGCGGAGTTTCAGAAAGAGCAGGAGTTTTTAAAGAGACATTTTCAAGGTGTTAAATTATGAAGTCAAATTTCCATTAAGTCATGTTTCATACATACTGCATTTTCATAACCATGGAAGTTAACATAGTTACTATATTGTGCTATAAAATGGTGCTATGTGCCGGGAAAACACATAATACTCCCCCTTTAATGCAAAATTAATGTAAAAAAAAAAAGAAAAGAAAATCTAAGTAATAAAATAAATACAATGACCCAAATGTTAAAATGCACAAATAATAAAAGCTTTAATGTAACAGACCGAAGAAAAAGATATTTAGTTTTAACTTGGATCCCTCTATATTCAACATTATCAATGTTTTGTAGACTGTTTACATATGTTTTTGAAGAGTAATTTCTTTAAAGACGGCTTATTTTTCCAGTCTTGTATTTTCAGTTCTGTCTTTCAAAAGACATCTACTTTTTCTCCATGACCGTTAAAGGAGCTGCCTTGAACTGTTTCAGTCGATCCCGGGTCAGCCTGTATGTTCAGGAACTGGTGATCCACCAGACCAGGCTTTGGGTTCGCATGAGTTAGCGAATCTTTTCTTTGGGGGCTAGATTTTCTTGGTTTAAATGGTGTTTTCAGGTCAAATTAGAGTCCATCGCTTTGCAGTGGGAGAGATTTGTCCCGAAGTGGAAAACACTCAAGATAGTTGCCAATCTTCTTAGGAGTGAATGTTCCTGCAAATTTACCCAGAAGTCACTCCACTTGATGCTCCAGAGAAGCTGTAAACCCCAAGAGCTTAAATTCCCACTTTTTCGTTTCTCAGTTAGTATGTTGTATGCTAAGCGGGAGCATTAGAGGAAGAGCATGAATGAGTTGTTTGGAGAGTAGAAGGCGATTGAATTTTCACTGTAAAAATAATATGGAGACATGATTTTTTTTTTTTTTTATTTTCTATTGAGATATAAACATGTTCAGATTAAGTGAACATACACAGAAACAAATTGACATGCGCGAAAAAATATATTGGCTTTATGTTTACTGTTGTACAAGAATTTGCTTGCGTTTCCTCATCAAAACGTCTTCTTCCTCGTCTCTTACAGGTCGCAATAAAAATCATTGACAAAACCCAGCTGAACCCAACCAGCCTGCAAAAGGTCAGTTTTCTTCTCTGTATTTCTGAGTTGCTCCTGTAGCGATGTGTGCCGTGTTTTCAGGAGCAAGGAAAGAAAACGCAGGCTGCCCTGTCTGATGTTGTGCTTCCGCGGTGTTTTATCCTCTAAGTTTCCATTACAAATGTGCGCAAAACTTTAGTCAATAGCTGCATTTCCATTGGCCTTAAAATCGTGCAAATTGGAATTACAAAAATAGATCTCTTAATGGAAACACAGCAATTTAAAAAAATAAAAAAACACTTTTTTTGTAAAAAGTTTTTGCGCAAACAGGAGGTGGTTTTTCAGCTGCATCGAAATTAGTGTGTTCAGCAAAACTGCGGTGGAAATGCTTTTTTTTGCCATCACATGAGTCACACGATCAACAACCAGATGTTGCTTCTGGCACAAAAGATGAAGACTTCAGAGTTGTTTTTTGGGATTTGATATATTGATTCTAATTTCATTATAACTCTGAGTTCCTCAGTTCCCTTTTTGATTAGACCAGTCTCGTTTGTGTTTTAATTTAGTTCAGTCCTTTCTTAGAGATTCCACTTTATTATAGTTAATTATTTCTTATTTGTTAGTTTAATTATGTTTCTTATGTCTAGTTACTCTTTAATGTTAGATTTATTTCCTCTCCCTCGCACCCTGTGTGTCTCTCTCTTCCATCACACCTGCAACCCGTCAGCTTATCAGTCTAGGTCCTTTGTTTCAGCATTCGTTCTCCCAGTACTTACACACCTCACCTCCTCTCACTCTTGGCTGGTTCCTCCCGTTATTTTCCTGTTTCTTCTCCACCAACACCCTTGTGTAGTTTTCCGTGGATTTCTGTTTTTGTTCAGCTCTGGCTCTCTGCATTCCCATGTTTTTTTTTTTCTTGTTAGTTTGTTTTATTTTATTTTTTTGTTTTTAACTTTTAATTAAAGAAAAGATTTTTCATCCGATTCACCCAGACTCCAGCTTGGACTTTGGTCCCCGATGGCTTGTTTTTTTAGTTACTCACTTCATGAACAAACTTATTCGCATGCGATTTCAATTGCATTCCACATTTAGTGGAAATGTCGCGATTGCAAAATTCTCTTTTTGACTTTAGTGGAAAAGCAACAAAATTTGGAACGCATTCGTAACGGAGCTACTATTCCACAATTTTACAACTGTCGTGCTTTCATTAAATGAGAAACTCAGTCAAAATCACGTGTGGATACGTTTGTTCACGTGTTGTCATTAAGAAAGACGCCGCGGCAAGATGCTCCTACTGCTTTCTGTCGTCTTTGTGTGGTAACATCCGGTTATTGATCACCGATGTGAATTTTTTTTGTGCCATTTAAGCTTTGTGAAATAAACCATCGTAGCTCCTAAATGTTTTTAATCAAAAAATCAGTTGGTTTTTTTTTTGTTTTTTGTTTTTCAAAATTGTTATGTGTCCACGTAGCAAATTTATTTTCAAAATGTCAAATTGCACAATTACACTGGTCAACGGAAACGCAACCCGTGACCGGAGAGGGCTGTGAGAGGTTCAGGCTCCTCCTCCACCGTCTCCCCCTGCAGAAAGCAGCAGGAAGGGAGAGCAGCTGATGCTGATGCAGAGGGGGATCATGGGATGTGATGCTGTGTGGCAGGTGCTAGGGCTTGGACGGGAGCAAGAGGAGACCTCTGCTCCACATATCATCTCTCGTCTCTCTCTTGGCTAATCGCTGTCCTGAGAGAGGGGGGGTGGGGCTGACTCATCCCAGAGGCCGCGGTCACCCGGCTCACGCTCCCCTCTGTTTGTGTGCATGTCTTCCTACCACGTCTTCCTCAGACACGCGCGTTTGCAGGTAACGGCAAAGGACGTGTTGTAGAGGTGTTCGTGTCGGGATCTGTCACCGTTTTCGTGGAAAGGGGAGAAGTGTCGCGACAGGAATGGGGTGACTCAAGCTCCACCGTTGCAGCCTGACTCACGGAGATGTCGAGCAGGAGAACCTGTGCTGGACGTCCAGGCACACGGAGACCAGTAGACGGGGTTCCTTAAGTCTGGAAGGGGCTGGGATGAAACAAAATGAGAGCATGAAAAAAAATCTGTGTAGTTCCAGACTTTATTCCCCATTCTGTTTACTCAAAGTTGTGTCCTTCCTTCTAAGTGTTGTTTTTTTTTTCTTCTGTACTTTCTCCTTATTTGTGTCTTTCCTCATATTCTCATACTATTCCTTCATTTCTTTACTTTGCCCATCTTTCTTTTCTTCTTCCTCTTTTCTTTAATACTGTCTATCTGTGTCGTGTCCTTCCTGCCTTAAAAGTGTTGTACTTTCACTTGAAGATGTGTAAGAATCCTAAGATATTTACTTCCTATATCCCAGATATCTCAGCATCACCTCACGCAGCTGCATGTAACACAATTGGGTGAAAGTTGAAGGGGATATGTAAGCGACTAAGAATGCAGACATCCTGCAGAGCTGATTGTGTTCTTGTATGGCCGTCACCAACATTTAGCCATAAGGGGCTCCGAGGATTTCTGTCTTTTTCACCTCCTTTCTGTGAAGAAGAATCTTGTGAACTAAAAGATTTCCACTTTTAAACATTTTCATGGCTGCTTACAGACCCTCTTAAAATTGCAGGTTTTTGAGACTTTAAAGTTTGAGATTATAATTAATCGTTTTTCACCTTTAACATTTCAAAATGTTGGAAGCAGCTTAAAGTTTCTGTTTATTGTTCTTGAAAAGTAAGAAGGAGTTCTGTGGATTTTTGGCATTCAGGCCAATGCTGAATAGATGTTAACAAAAGCAAAGCAGGGCGTAGTTTTAGTGATCGAGAGATTTTCAAGAATTGCATCTTTAGTGGAAAAATGAAAACTAAGTCTGGGATGTTGTCGCATACATTTTGTTTAATTAATTGCATGTAATTAATCACAGCCTTTTTTTTTTTTTTTTTTTTTTTTTTTTTACATACAAAAGTGTCCAAGCGGAACTTTTGTATTTGTGCGTTTCTGCTATGCCCATAACTCTAACGCACAAGCGACATCAGCAAACAACGAAGCCGCTTCTCTTGGTCCACTGGGATTAATTTATGCTTCAAAAACCGATCTGATTGGACGCTGCTGTTGTGTTCAAGTTGGGCTAAAAGCAGTTAACCTATCAGTGAAGCTACTCGAGTCTAAAATAGCATGTCGGTGTCAAACATGCTGGAGCAGCAAAGTCTTGTATCCTGAGAGATTTTGCTGAATAACTCAAAAATCTGGGAGAAATTAAATATATGTAGGAAACTGGTGGTATAAATCAAAATGGTAAAAAGCACAGCCAGAGAGTGGAATGTATTTGACCCACAGTCTCTACTAAGAGACGTCCTCATTCGACCATTTTAATATCTAAACACTGCACAACACATCACAATTTTAACATGATGGCAATATCACTATATTCAATAATAATATTGCAAATAACTGATTGAACAGCAATCAATTTGTGCTTTTTTTGTGGCAGTAATTTATTTATTGATGGTTACAGCAAATGTTTAAGAGGGCTGTGAAAGATTTAAAGAAACACAACTTGGATGTTTTATTGCAAAAGCATCAGATGTAGTCGATGCAACTTTTTCACAGAAACAGTGTTAAGATGGAAGAAAATGTATCGTTTTCAGCGACTTGCCATCTGTTGTTAGTGCTTGCTTTGAAGCCAAAGTAAAAAGACACTAACACTGGTTATTTTTTGTGTCACAAGTCATTTCTGTACCGGAACATTACATGTTTTCTAATCTCGTATTTGTAACGTAAAGTGAATACTTAAATTGGTCTAAAATGTCAACTTTGAAACAATTTTGTGTTTTAAAGAAGTAAAATCTAATTTATAGGAAATGCGCAGAAGATGGATTGAAAATACCCACTTTATGTTCTAACGTAAAATGATGCATGTGAAGAGTAAAGAGTCTGGATTACAAAACAACAAAAAGCTCTTGTATTTACTGCATGCGCTAAACCCTGGATAATACTCTAACTGCACAAGGTCACTGGTATCACAGAGGCTATGAGGAGGAAAAGATTAGTTTTGATCAAATAAATAAATAAATAAAAAAAGTCAAAGGCAAAACAAATCTAATCTTTAGCTTTTAGGCTTGACCAAATCCATGTAATATTTTTTACAATTCTCCAGCTAATAAAGCAGAGCTTCATCTTCATGTACGGTGGCTCTGATAATTCCAATTTGACAGAAACAAACAAAAAGAGAAATCTATTTTATGATGGGAGAAAAACATGTACACAGCTTTAAACTTCTTTTAACCAAATTTCATAGTCAGTCTTCTTCAGCTGGAATCTGTCAGAATTTCATGTTGAATATTAACAGATTAACATTCACATGAACTGATTTCCTGTTGAGTTTATTGCTACACTGTCATTGGGTTAGTTTTTCAGCTGTGTTTCTACAGACCATATTATTATTATTATTAATAATAATAATAATAATAATGGACTTCTTTAACATGTATTTAGGCTGGGGAATATTCTGTGGGCCTAAGACATGAATGAGCCCACATTAACATAATCTGGGTGCTAATATATGTAGAGAGGAGAAAGAAAGAGGGATGGCTGTCTGATACGTAGAACAATGAAGAAAGAAGTGAAATTGCAAATGGAGAAAATGTCATCTTATCGTCCATAAGGCAGCTTTTAAATCTCGTGAGATTTCCGCGTTGTTCTATTAAAACTCTGAAATCAAATCAAACCATTTCTTTTTATTACTATTATTTCGTGTTTTTAAGTCAAAACACATCGGCGCAACGACTCCCTTTTTAATGCAGTTTGTCACCATCTGTTTGATTTGAACTCCAGCCAGGATTTGCAGGAGGGGCCTCGTCGCCACAGAGCTTTGCACATCCGCTGCCATTACGGGGCTGCTATTTAATCAGCAGCAACGAGGGTCAGACTTCTCGCTGGAGGAGCTGTTAAAGCTGTGATTCCTTTTGACGGATCCGATCCCGTCCGCCCGCCCGCCGCTTCTGAGCAGGGGGAGCCGACGGCATGGGTTTCAAGTACTACGTATCCCAAGATTCCTCTCCAGCGCAGCTGGGGAAGAGCTTAATACCTGGGTTGCTATGGCAACAGTGACATCAGGCTAGCGAAGGCTGCTAGAAGAACTGAATGGAGGAGGGTGGGGGGAAACACAGAGAAATGACGGGGAGTAGAATGGCTTATCAGGCATCATTTTCCTCCCTTTTCCCTCCTTGTTATCGCGGATTAGAGCTGTCTGTTTTCAGCCGTGCTCTTTGGTCCAGCAAACATGCAGCTATTTACATAAAATCAGGGGGAGCTGCCTCGGTTTTAATCCCCCCGCGCCGCCCGTCGCCTCACGGCAGACCTCCAACACGGAGTAGAAACCGGGCGGGTTCTTGGCTGCACATTCACTTGCACATTTGTGCGTGGGCATCATGTTGTTGTTGCCATGTTTAAACGACGAGGAGGACTTCGCAAATCCTAAATGTGATGCGGTTATTTTAGGTGTCGAGTTGTCTGTGTGAGCTGGTCATCCTGAGACTTCGACTGCTCACATGTCTGCGCAACGGAACCGTTGGTGGGATTCGTCTTGTTTCATCCACTTCCTGTCTGGTTAAAAAGAGATTAAAGACCGACTAGTTTGTTGAAACGCAGACAAAATGACTGTGGAGCTCGCAGTTTTAACTGTTTATATAATTTGGTATTTGCATTAGCCCTGTTAGCATGGCTAAAACAGCGGTGTCTGTGCCGCCAATATTTCCAAACCCAACATGTTCCATGAAGCAAAGAGATCAGTTTTACTACACTTAGTTTAGTTTCATTGTCATCTGCTGAAAGCCGTGCTTTCTCTCACTTTTATTTTTTTGCAGCCCCATAACTACTTTTTAACATCTCACTAGCTGCGTTTCCCTATTTGAGCAAATTGGAATTACAAAAATAAATTTGCGTAATGGAAGGTTTTTACGCTAGGATGAGGTGGTTCTTCTTCTGCATTGAAATTAGTGTATTTCACAAAACTACATAAAAAAAAACCACACATTTTTTCGCATCACATAAGTCATGTAAATAACGACCGGATGTTACTCCTTCTGGAAACGACGAAAAAGACAACAGGAAGTTGTACATGGATGAGATGTCTTGACATATTATTTAAATATTGCATGCACTTAGTTCTTATTTAATGGAATCACTGTATTAGCAATTTGTTTTTGTTTTGTTCTGTTGATAGTGGAATATCAACAAAGTTTTGCACTTATTTGTAATGGAAAGGCAGCTAATGGTACTGAAAATAGCTAATTTTGACTCTTCACTCAGTAACAGCTTCTACACCTGGTGTTGTTTTCAGCACAACCCGATAGTGCTTTGTGCAATGTTAACTCAAAGGCTCTTCCCAGATCAAATTGCCATTTCCACATTTGCTGCCTTATAGTCTTTGACTGTTTTATAGAAGATCTCTGCAGAGGGAGAAATTAGTGCCGGCAAAATGCAAAACCTCTCATTTATTTACATGAATTAACCCATAAATATAGCGGTAAAAACTTTTGTCCCTCTCTTTCTCAAACGTGGGATTGGTTTACAATCTAATAAGTAAATCACAAACAGTTTCGTAAACGTTCAGACACCATCACATGGTAGTCGCGTTCCATTGTAATGTAGAAGAGTTCAGGCTGGTCACCTGTGGAATCGAACATGATGTCCATCTGCAGCTCTACCCTTTTATACAAAATTGTAAAAAAAAAAAAAAAGATCTTTGACATGGCCAATGAAGGTGAGAGTCACAATGTACTGATCACTACCCGATTTCTCAAAGCTGCTGTCGTTATCAAAACTAGTAAGGGGTCCTATGTAGTTTGTCTTAAAGACACATGTGTGAGTAAGAGGTGACATGAATGTTATAAACTGAAGCTGGTTTTTACTCGTCTTTTTTTATGAACATGTGTGTTTTATGCGCGGGGCGGCATTCACTCTCGTCAAAGTCGACTTCACTTTGAGAATTGCTCTCCTTGGATCTAACTTCCATGTGAAGTGCCTTGAGATGACTTTTGTTGTGAACTGGAATTTTATGTATATCAATTAGAATTATTTAGGTTATTGCTGTATAATTAAACACCAAATGCCGCTCTAGACAAATTAGGTCCCAGAGTTTTGAAGTGAAGCACCTTTGCGTCTGGTGGATTATAAACTGTACTAATAGATGTATGTTGAGCCTTTGGAGCCATTCAGCTTCACATCCTTACCTCATTCATCATCATAATCGTTTATTCCTCGTTTTGTCTTTCAGCTTTTTCGGGAGGTACGAATAATGAAAGGCTTAAATCACCCTAACATAGGTAAGACAACTTCCTCCCATCCATCTTATTGGTTTAATATGTGCAGCTGCTTTGTATGTGTGTGACCAGATAGCATTGTTAACATTGTGTTAAATTGTATTTTTTTGCTCTATAGTGAAGCTGTTTGAGGTGATAGAGACGGAGAAGACCCTTTACCTTGTTATGGAGTATGCCAGTGGAGGTGGGTAGTTTGGCCTGGGTGGTATTTCTACGGTTCTGACATGTGATATCTGGTCTTCACCCAGTCCTAACGTCATTTAAATCTTATCACACCACAGATTATCCCAGGTTCTTGTTTATTTTTTAAAAAGATTAAGCTAAATTAGGTTTTTTAAAGGTTTTGTGAAAAGCTAGATGTGCCCCAAAAACCATAATACATAAAATCTTATAGTTTCAAGATGGTGTTTTGTGCTTTTTTTTCGTATTAGGTGGTCAGATGTTAGAACTCTATTGATCTGAACTAAAATCCATTTAGTTAAAGGATCTTTTAGGTCTTTATGTTTTCCATGTGTTGCAGCGTGCCTCCTTGAGGACAATAAAGCTGGTGGAAGCTGCTGTTTATTAAATATTAATCAAAAAATTAAAGTTAATGAATTCCATTCTGTTTATCCGCCATATTTAATCACGCCGTTAAATGACTGGACTCCTTCCGGCTGTGTCTGCTAACCCGGATGCTCTACCTCTCAGGTGAAGTGTTTGACTACCTCGTGTCACATGGGAGGATGAAGGAGGTCGAAGCCAGAGCCAAATTCCGACAGGTAGGAAAGGTCGTCTTTACCCGGGTTGTAATGGTTGTGTTTTTTTTTTGTTTTTTTAAATTTTGTTTTATTTTATTGTGACTTTTTGTTTGTTTAATTCAGTTCATTTTGATTCGTCTTTAGAGTACGTTTGCTACGTTTCAAGAGTTATTAAGAGCTAAATATTGTTTAGTTTTGTTTTTTTATTAGTTATAGTTTTAGTTTTTTCATGCATCATTTTTAGGTGCAGAATTCAAAAAGGTCAAACTATTGTATTGTGATTATGTATATATATATCGTTTGGATAATGAATAATCAACTGAAAAAAAGTATTGTACAACCAACTGTCTCTGGTGTTTTATCCCAACTTTTGCTGTTGTCATTTTGCAGACTTGTAGATAAGTATGGAGTGCTGTGATTTAAAAAAAACTTAATTCCATATCAGTTCAAAAGGCTAATGAATAGATTTATCAACACGAAAACAAACAATATTACGTCTTTAATTTCAGTATGTTTCAATTAGTTTTAGTTCCGTATAGTTACAGCTTTCCCCCATTGATTACTGCTTTTACTTATTCTAGTTAACAAAAATGTTTTCTCCATTTCATTTTCCATTATTTTGTTTGTTTTAATTGACTTCAATAACCTCGGCCCTTACAGCACAGCTGCCTTCAACTCTTACTGCTCTGTATTTCAGCTCCATCGGTTTTTTTGTTTTTGTTTTCTCTCCCCACAGATTGTCTCTGCCGTCCACTACTGCCACACCAAGAACATCGTCCACAGAGATTTGAAGGTGAGGAAGAGCAAATGAATTGGAATTAATAATAGTCCTGGAGAAGAACTCCAAGAGTCGAACGATTTCGTTTCCTCTCAGAATTTGGAAGTCAAGCATGTGGGAGTGATCTCGATCTGTGTCTCTAAAAGCAGTGCTTTAGCATCCTAATTGCAGTGCTGAGTAAAGAGGTCGGAGCCAGAGCCTAAACACGCTTTGACATACATGTAGCATGAGTCATGTCCGGGATGCAGTCCTCCCCCCCTCCAACCCACCAATCTGTCCAGTGTGTGTTTCCTCTCTCTGTCCTTTTATTTTCTTCATCTCTACTCATTTATTCTTCTGTCCTCTTGTTTCCCATTCCCCTCTTCGTGCCCCTGACCCACTAGTTCTCGACACTGATCCATCTTTTCTCCCTGTGTGTGTTGCTGCTGTGTGCATAACGTGTCCCTTTTCTGCTCCTGTCCAACTGTTCCACTCGCTCCGAATTACCTCAGGCGGAGAACCTTCTGCTGGACGCCGACGCCAACATCAAGATCGCTGATTTCGGCTTCAGCAACGAGTTCACGCTGGGGAACAAGCTGGACACGTTCTGTGGCTCCCCGCCCTACGCCGCACCTGAGCTCTTCCAGGGAAAGAAGTACGACGGGCCTGAGGTGGACGTCTGGAGCCTGGGAGTCATCCTTTACACACTGGTCAGCGGCTCTCTGCCGTTCGACGGCCAGAATCTAAAGGTACGTTTTCCCCCCAGGGGGATCGGAAGTATGAGCAGTGTTTACTTTCGTGGTTGTCAAACGCTGTAAGAATGCACACGTTCTTCAACCAAGAAAAAAAAATAAAAGAAGAAGTCGAGCTGTGATAAAAAATCTGTTGGAGGTGGATACAAACAGGATGGATAAATGTTTTCAATAAATGCAGAAACATTTAATAGGAAACGCATCCACAAAATACAAAATCTATGAGGAGACCTGACAGGAATCTCACCAGTCATGTTTTTATCCGTTTTATTTTTTTTCTCATGCGCATTTTGAAATATCGTATTAGAAATGGTTGATGGAAATGTTTCAAAATAATTTTGTTGACTAGCTTAAGTGGCTTTAGATTTTTTCACAACAACAAAAAAAAAAGTAATGCGCTAAAGGGGAGATGGAAACACATTTGCTGAATATGTTCTAATGTAGAGAACGTTCCCAGTCCAAACTGGGAACTATCAGGAGTGACTGGCAGGAATCACTCTTGTCTTGGCTGGGATGGAAGGGTTTGAATACTCCCTCCCTCTGGACAATCTGTGCTTTTCAGAGGCACAAAACTGTGGAAAATTTCTAAGCCCAAATCTCCAGCTTCGAGCGGAGCACTCTTTCCATTTTTCTTAGATGTGTTACCCAGTGATCGTCTTTAGTTCAAATTTAAAATACCCAGTCTGCTCACACCTCAGTGGGTTAATACTGTTCTGAGTAGAGACTCACTAAAATATAGAAATTTATAAAACTTCCATTCTACATGCACATAAAAAGCATATTTTCAATAGGATCAGCTTTAATTGAGCCAGAATGTATTCCATTCCTGACTACCAACTCAACTGGTGGAGGAAATGTACGTATCTTAACTACAAATGGTTCACTCAATTAACAAAATCAGCAAAGATTTATTTTTAGTCAATATTTCCATCGCTTGTTTGTTCTGTAAACCAGTTGCTATAGTAACATGACAACCGAACGCAGCATCTTGGGGTTTTTCTGAAGAGTTCTGCAGTTATCGGTAGTCATTGCCATAAATCTCTTAAGTCAGAAATATTCCATAACAAGGCCAAAAGTTAAGTGTTAAACATGTGACGCCTGTGGCCTGTAGGAGCTGAGAGAGCGCGTGTTGAGGGGAAAGTATCGCGTGCCCTTTTACATGTCAACCGACTGCGAGGGCATCCTTCGCCGATTTCTGGTGCTGAACCCCGCCAAGCGCTGCACGCTCGAGGTAAGAGGAGCGACTCGCATGCAAGGGCAGCGGCGGTAGAAATGCTCTCCAGACTGAAGTGTGTCGATGCCTCTGTCCACGCAGCAAGTCATGAAGGACAAATGGATAAACACAGGGTACGAGGGGGACGACCTGAAGCCCCACATAGAGCCCGTGGAGGACTACAGCGACCCGACTCGCATAGGTCAGCCGGCTCGGTTTGTCTCCACCGCCTGATTGTCGTCACGGTGATCTCCTGTCTGATCTGTTGGCTTTGCTTACTTGTGTGTGTGTGGCTCAGAGGTGATGGTCGGGATGGGCTTCACCCCTGAAGAAATCAAAGACGCTCTCCTGAACCAGAAGTACAACGAGGTCACCGCCACCTACCTGCTGCTGGGTCGGAAAGGCGACGTGAGTCGGCTGTTTGCTTCCTGCCTCTTTTTACTGGTCACACTGCAGAACTTACCCGGAAGGACTTGCTACAAAATGTAGCTTCTTCACTCTGCTTCCTCTCATTTCGTTTTATATCCATCAGTGTTGCTAAAACAAGCTAACAGTGAAACTTCTTCCTGTGAGAACGACTTCCACACCAAAGAGTGTTGTTGGCAGCACAATCTGGCAGCATGCACCTTTTTGCATTCACTCATCTGAAAAAAAGATTGACTTTATTTAGTTTGGTTTTCCAGCAGTCAGTCGCCAGTCAAATTTTTTTTTGAGGATTTTTATTTTTCATGAAATTGCTTCAGAAAGGGCCTTTTGGGTCAGAGACTGGCCATTCTGAAAACTGGTTTCGTAGGCCATCTTAAATTTCTAATCTGACCAAATACCAAATATTTTCTAAAAAACCAGCACTGTTTATTGATTTCTTTATTTTGCTGATATCTGTTTTAAAAACATGACTGTTCGTAATTTGTTTTCTTTACTATTAACATTTTAGTTTGTTTTTATTGTACCTGTAATCAAAACACATTAGAAGAAAAAAAGAAAGTGCAGCTCAGCTTGCCGGGTTGTTAAATCAAGCATTGATTTTATTTTAACTACACTGTATAATTAAGTGGAGAATTCCTTCTGTGAACGCATTAATTATTCATCTGCAGCAGAAGCGGCACCCTGTTGTGTGTATGTGAAAGAGGGGAGTCACTGCACTAAATGAAGGTCTACAAAAAGATTCTATTATTGCATTAAAGCCGCAACAGAATGAGAATGGGAGGGATGTTTTTAAACTATTTTTATCATATTTTGCTGTAGAATCGCTGTGGGTGCTTTCTGGAGCCGACTTTGGCTCAATGTTTTCTCACCAGCTGCAAACAGTTTTAAATCTAAGTGTATTCAGCAACATCCAGAGGTTTGAATTCCCAACTTGACTGTAGTCCATTTCCATCCACCTGCCTTTCTGTTTCCTTCTGTGGCTTCTGGTAAAAACAAAAGCCCCTTATTCTGCGCTTTGCTTCGTCCAGAGGCTTTGGACCGTCGGGTTCTGAGGAACGACTGCTCGTTTTAGGAACGTTGAAGTTTTAAATGATGATTTTAACCAATCGATAACAGTTGGCCGTGACGTATGTAATGCACCACGAGGGAAGCTACTTGTCTTCTTTTTGTCCTGTTTTTATTTATAGTCTAAAAACTGCGTTAGTGACGTATTAATGATGTGTGGACCGATGTAAGAACAGTGGTGCAGCTAGTTGTGGATCCTAAACAGACTAACGAACTAACTGTTGTTCCTTCTGTCTGGATGTTTGTCTACTGGGCGCCACAGGAAAGCAGTGATGCTCGCAGTGCTAGTACACTGTCTCTGGCCAGGGTCCGACCCAGCCCCATCACCAACGGGACGAACAAGCACTCATCGGCCACTGGCTCCTCTTCCTCCTCCACCTCTTCCTCCCAAAGCAAGTCGCAGCGCAGTGCCTCCACCTACCACCGACAACGGCGACACAGCGACTTCTGTGAGTCTCTTCTCTGCTGTAGTTTCATCCTGAGGCTTAAACTTGCCACGATTTCATATTCTAACCAGTCGCTTTCAACAGCAGCAGCCATTGGTGTAGGGGGGGTAATAATTTCTAACAGGGTCTGTGTTGCTAATTCAATCTTCAGCAAACCACGAGCACACTTGCAAAACATTCACATTATTCGGGATCATCACCGTGCCCACAGAATATTCCTTATGCGAGTCTCTGTGTGTCTCTGCTCTGCTGTCCTCCACAACAAAGGCGGGCCTTCCATGCCCGTCATGCACCCCAAGCGGAGCCCGACCAGCACCGGGGACAGGGAGCTGCGGGAGGGCCGGATGCCTTCGCGTAAAGCCAGCTGCAGCGTAATGGGGAGCCACAGCCTTCCTCCCTCCAGCCCGATGGTCAGCAGTGCCAACAACCCCAATAAGTCTGAAATCCCAGACCGCCGCAAAGACATGACTGCCACCACGGTCAGTGAGCCGATCGTCAACGCAAGGAGAGGGCAGACACTGCTTTGGTTGGTTAGACATGCTGTCCTCCACTTTCTGCACCAATCTGGAAATCGGTGTATCTGTGTGTGTGTGTGTGTGTGTGTGTGTGTGTGTGTGTGTGTGTGTGTGTGTGTGTGTGTGCGCGTGCGTGTGTGTGATACACTGGACGGACCATGTTCCTAACTCATAGCTTTCCAGTATTTTATTTCATGAAAACACTGCAATTGCAAAATTGCGCTTTTTCAACATTAGCAGAATATTGACAAAGTTTTGTGCACACTTTTAACAGAAAGGCAGCCAATGAGACCGGTCATTCATGTAAAGAGTATTGGTGCAACAGCAGACATATCATGGTCTAAGCCAATCAGAGACAGTAAAGGATGGGTGGAAAAAGCCTGAACCTCACAGGTCATGCAAACTATGGATGTTGCAGATGTGGGTGCTGAAGTCTTTGTGCGTTTTTTTTATGTAGTATGTGTGCACAGAAGTTGTACGTGGTTAATTTGTGGGAGGAGCCACAGAGGGGTCATGGCTGCAGGTCATTGTTGTTGTCTCTTGTGCAAACCGGTTCTCTTCCCAACAGCTGAAGATTGGATCATGGCCGTAGCTTTGGGATTTTGTAGTAGCTGTACAGCTTTTAGCATCTGAGGAATCCTAACGTCAGCCTCTCGAACTGTTCATCTCTGCGTAGAATAACATCCCGGGAAGCACCATGACACGCCGGAATACATACGTGTGCACAGACCGCTCAGGTGCTGACAGGCACTCCCTTCTGCAGAACGGCAAAGAAAACAGGTAAGGCCGGAGCCGGCGCCATCTGCTCAAACTGTAACAAAAAAACCCTGGAAAGTTAGAAATATATGTTGACTATAACGGATACGCTTAACATCTGTTTTTGTCACATTTCCTGATTAAATGAATGAATGAAATGTCAACCACAACTGCAACAAAACCTATCTTTTAGACAGATTTTATTACAGACTCCCAGTCCAGTTTACATAAAAGAATAATCAATAATAATAAAAAGAAAGATTAAGAGCCCATGAAAATACGTAAATACCGTAAGCTTTAAGGATGCAGTCATACCAGTGTTTCCAAAATACAGATGGTTATCTTACTGCACTGTGTTTAACCTTAGTTAGCATTATGATACAGGCCTTGTACACACACACAGCAGAGTCTTTTTAAAAACGAATACCTCTGCCTCATCTTTTAACAAATAGCACTGTACACATGGGGTCGGTTTCAGATTTTTTTTTATCCACTTGATCCCGCTCTGTGATGCACAGGATCCTAAATCTCCACTTCCCCTTCTACACACAAACATAAATACAGGGTTTTTATAAATAATCGTTTTTAGTGATGCTAAGCTTGTTTTTGTGTGGATGTATGGCCAAAATGAAATAAAAATATGTTTGTTTTCCCAGCTGTTTGGCTGCGTGTGGACCAAACCTCAATATCCAGTGTGGAATAGAGAAATATGAAAATAAGATGGACTCTGCCACACCAATCCCTGGGTGATGTGACACAGTTTCTTCTTCTTCTTCTTCCCTTCAGCTCTCTGGGCCACCGCATGCCCACAGCGTCCCCCTCCACGCTCAGCATGGCCGGAGCCGGCGCAGCTTCCTCCTCTTCCTCATCGGACAGATGCCGCCTGACACGAGGATCCACAATCCGCAGCACCTTCCACGGGGGTCAGCTGAGGGACCGCGGTCCACCGGTCTACTCCGCCCCGCCCACATCGCCCACCCTGTCCCACCACGATGCCAGCCCGCTGCCCCATGCACGCACCAGAGCGACCTCCAACCTCTTCACCAAGCTGACCTCCAAACTCACTCGCAGGTGAATATGTACTGCGTAACACGTAGCTCAGAGGGGAAACTTCTGCTCCTCTGAATACTAATGGGAAGAGTTTGCGATATGAGGTGAGATGGAGCCAAAGCCATCGTCTTCTTTTACATCCTTACTAGCTGACTTTGAGCTTCTTCATGAAACAGTTTCTGCAGCTTGACAGAAAAGCAAATCGACCAGCAGAGCTTGTCTAACAATGGGTTCTCTTCACACCTCCTCACCAGCTCGGTTCTGCGGCTGCGTTTCTCTTACATGAGAGAGAGGCAGCCGAATACGTTTTAGCAACAGTATCCTTACTAGCAACAGTATCTGTACTGTTGCTAGTAAGGATGCTGTTCCTCGAAGAGCTTTACATTTTTCACTAAAGCCTGTAATTAGCAGCAGGCGAACTAAAGAGCAGGGCATTCTGGGTAAATACCACCAAACGAATGCACGAGTTTGGCGCTAGCAGGAGAAATGGCTTGTGGTCTTTAGTCAAGAACAAAAGAGAAATCCTACAACTGCTAAAATTTGACGGCACTTTATTTTTGTTTACATTTCGTGAAGATGAAAGCTGTGCTCTGTGTCTTCTTCAGAGGTTTTTGCGTTCAGTAGTTCTTGGTACAGCGCCACCACAGGCGAAGGGGGGGAGCAGCTCTTTCAAACGGGTTTGGTTTGTTTGACAGTGCAGTGTGAAAGCGAACCACACCGGCTTACAAATGTAACAAACGTTGCAGTTTTGGTTCCCAGTCCATTGGAATCAGGTGGGAAAACACCCGAATAAAATTCCAGTAAAAGACATGAACATTTGTGGCATTCGAGGGATTTTTCTACTTTATACAGCACTACACTTTGCTGTTGCAGGTAGATTAAAATCTGGACCGGGGGAATAAAAATGTTGGATATTATCTTACAGCATTGACTTCCTGAAACCTTTCCTTTCAGCTTGAGCGCAGTCTGAGTATGGCTTCATGTTTATCCAAACATTTGATCCATTTTGGCCTTTTGGCAAGCCCTCCTGTGGCCGTGGATTATCCAGCGCTCCCCTCTCCCTCCTGGTCGTCATAATCACACATGTCTAATCTTATCAAACCTCAGCTTTGCCCCTGCCAATCAGCTCCTGTGCTGCGCTCTTTTTCGCCACTTGCTCGCCTGTGACTCAGATACACTCTCTTCTATGCCCCTCCCCCCATCCGCCTGCTCTTAACCCTCTTTTTTTTCTCCATCTTTATCTTCTTCTGCTTCCTCCCTCCCACCCCGTTATGGCATCAGGGTCAACCTTGACCCATCCAAGCGCCAGGGCTCAAACAAATCAGTCTCGGGTTGTACTCTTCCACAAGGATCAAAAACAGTTAGTAAGTTCCCATGTCTCTCGCCTCTTTCTTGTCTGCCTGTGCTGCCCCCGTCCGTTTAGCTCCTCTCACTGGAGTTTACGCAGTTCTTTCCGCCGGCGCCTGACTTCACGTGCTGCTTGTTGTGTGCATGGCTTGTGAATATTTTCTTCTTTCTGTCTCTAGGTGCCCGTTTGATTTTTTTTTTTCTTTTAGCATGAGTACAGACATTGATTATTTTTACTTTCGTGGTCCAACTGGTTCTAGAATATCATCTCATGCATCAGCCGTAGTGTTGTTGTGTTATGATTTCATTTTGTGGAACAAAATGATCAATATGTGTACGTTGCACAGAGGTAGCATAAATCGCTGAGTTTGTATCTGCATGCTGTATGAAGTGTGACTTCCACGGTGAAGATACATGTTTCTGTAGGACAAGGATAGCTGGTCTTTACATCACTCGCTTGTTTTGAAGCTCATTTGGTTTCACTGTACAGTATCCACTGCTGAATGCCATCTCATCTGACAACCGAGGATTATTTAAAAGGCTTATTGTTCTCTGGTGGATTTAGTTCTTAACTCTGTCTGTCTGCCCTTCAGGGTCGCAAATGAATCTGAGGGAATCAGGAGATTTGCGGTCACAAGGTGAGCTCAGTCTGCTTTGAGACAGGATACTTGGAACAAAAATTACACACGTTTGTGGTTGCTTCATTATGTCTTTGTTCTACTTTTTAAAAATGTGGGTTTTGTTGTTCCTTGTACTAAAAATGCATCTGTGGTTTTAGCATTTCTTGTTGTAAAGCACGGTTACATCAAAGACGATATCGTCGTCCACGCACAAACTTCCTCACTTGTTTGTGCAAAATTTAGTCACATTAATCCTAATGCTTGAACTGTCCTCCCCTAGTTGCCATCTACCTGGGTATCAAAAAGCGTCCGAGCCCCGGGCCGTCGGACGTGGCTGGAATCTGAGAGGCGGTGGGCGGCGGGACCCTGCGGAGGTGGTACTGGCTCTGCGGGAGGCTGCGCTCGGATGTGGCTGCCAGGTCCACCATTCCGGCCCCTTTCTGCTCTCCTGCACCCACGGCGTGGCAGGGGGCCGCGTGGCTTTTGAGGCCGAGGTGTGCCATCTATCCACGGGCACCTCCGAGACTTCTAACGGGGTACGCTACACGCGACTCTGGGGGGCACCGCTAGCTTTTCGGGACATCGCTACCCAAATCTCAAAGGACCTTGAACTTTGAGCCAGAGGGAGTGTTTGCATCGAGAGTGTGTTTCTGTGCGTTTATGTGTGTGCGCCAAGTGAATTGAAGCAGGGGCATGGGGACCGGGTGGGGGACAGAGATGGGGGCAAGGGGCTGGACCCTTTCAGGAATACCCCCTCTGCACACACACATAGACTCGCACACACCTGAGCAGTAAGGTAACGCTGACCGAAGCTCCCCACCGTCCACCCAATCACCGACCCGGCTCAGCCAGCTTCTTCACTGAGCTACTGCAACCACTGGATCTGGATCAGATGGAACCTAGTTGAATATTTTTTATTGCTACTCTTAGCCATAATGACTCTTTATTTTGTTATGCTCTGATCCTTGTTTTTACCCACTGTCACTCTCATCTCCACAGAAAGAAACATCCCTGCGCTATCAGATGTCACTGACCACCAAGTCCTTTTTTAACTCTTTTTATATGACAGTCACATGTACTGTTTCATTCTACTTTTGACCACTTACGGACAGTCGCCACACATGATAACATGTCCAACTCCGTGGTCATACGGGCGAAGGGTTGCATTGCATTGACTCATGGGAACAGTCTGGCAATGACTGTGTCAGATTAAGGTCACTGGGAGTTGATGTGTCTGTCAAGGCCAATCAGAGGCTAATGTGGAGTAACAATAGCCAATCAGGGATGTATTCTAAGTCCAAAATGCCAATGAGATTTCCAAGTTCATGAACTTGTGGAGCAAAGCTTTCCAGTTGGCATTGTTTGGTCTGAGATTCTCACAGCGTAGTCACTTTTTGTAATCATCACTGTTATACTGCTGACTTAATTAAAACAAAAATTCATAACATGGTGGAATTACTTTTATAAAAAAAAAAAAAAACATACGTACTTTCTTCATGACTGGAAATTAAAAAAGGAAAGAAATTATTTTTGGTCAAATTGGTTCCCATGCAGCTCCCACAAAAACCATGAGCAAAATACTTTTGTTTTACAGTGTGACAGTATTAACACAAAAATGTATTAGCCCAATATAATTATTTAAAAAAGAGAGAAATAAGATTATCAGTGCTGCTAAAATATCTAAATGCTATGTTACTATTATAGCTACAATAACATTTAGTTCCCTTCCCTGACGCATCGAAAGTGTTGGTGTTAAATCATTGTTGCACAATCTGTGCTAAGCTATTTCTTGTACTTGAGAAACTAATAAAAACTAAATTATTCCAGCCACAAGCATCATAAAATCTAAAGTCAGTGTCAAATAAACTATCAGAGAGCCAGAAGGCTGTATTAAAAGTTTATGTAAACATATAAAATTGTGTCATACTTAAGCTAAATATGAAATAGCCTTCTTCTGCTTACTAGTACTTCATAAGCAAACAATACATCCAAGTCTAACAATCTGTTAGCAGCTGATTAATTAGCCTCAGTAGCAACGTGCCAGGAGGCTTTTCTTTTACTGACAGGCAAGGTAACTCTCAAAGCTTGTTGCTATGATCTGTTTGCAAACACAGCTACCTTATTAGAAGCGATGATTGAGTGGAAATATCTTTCAACACAAGCTTTGTGTTTGTTGACAAGAATTGCCTTCCTTTAGCCGACTAGCTAGCAGCACCCGGCAACAGCTTGGGAAGCGCCACGAGAAAATTCCAGTCGCTCCGGGACTCTTTCTGGAATCCTCCTGGAATTATATGAAACTGAAGACACAAAAGACTTTGATTTAAAACGTTTGTAGTAATGAGACGGTGACTTGAAAACTGTTTGAGGCTAAACATTATTGTGTCTAAAGATGAGGCTTTGTCCCACTTTTCAACTTTACTCAACTAAAATAATGATTTGTAGCTCGTTCTTAAGCTGGATTTGTTCACTTAAACAAATATTACAGTATTTTACTAAATTGTGGGAACAGATAAATCTAGGTTTAGGGTTATGAATACAGACACTATCCAGTTGCTCAAAATCCTCAGGTAACAGAACAACATTTTACCTGTTTGAATACCGTTAGACTGACAGATTGAAATTATGGTAGTTCCTTTTGTAGCGTGAAGGCTCTCCATTATAAATAGGTTGAAGACCTCTGTCATCCAGGGGGAGCTGAGAGTAGAGGCTTAAGTGGTGAGGGTATTTGATCAGGCTGTGTCCGTTTGAAGGTCTTCCAGTAACATCCCACTCTAAGGAGACCCAGAACGAACTGGAGGGACCGTGTTTCCCTTCTGACCCGGGGATTGCCCAGAATGAGCTGATGAGTGCCTCTGGTGAGCGGGAGGTCTGGGTTTCCCTCTAGATCTGTTACTCCCACAGTAACAGTCTTTCATTGCTCTGCAGAATAACAAGCAACACTGCAACTCTAGTGTACTATCAATGCAATGCAACTCTTGTATTGACTCTATTCTGTGCCATGTGATCTCACCTTGCTCATCATCTCTTGTTGGTGGGAAACACCAAAACACGGATCAGCCAAGCAGCAGCACCTCTCATCCCACCTCACCCTTACATGCTGAGGTCATGTACTTCCCCAAATGTGCACCTCTTTATCCCTGTAGCCCCGGTATAAGAACTGCTCAGTCCATTATCGGTGACTGCGGAGATCAGGGGGCGGGTTCTGTACCTGGACAGGCACAATGGAGGCAATGTGGATACTGTTTTCTTCTTGTTAGTCCAGTTGCCTTTAAAGTGAACACCCCCCAGCGCCTTCATACAGTACTTATTTAATGTAAAAAAGGAAAATGGAAAAAAAAAAAAAACTGAGAAAGCTTTCTATGCTCCCTCCCTGTTTTTAGTGAACAATGTACTGTGATATTTGCGTAGACTACAGAGGTCATATTGTTTGGCTGCTGATTTACTGTTAAAACTTTCTCTCAGTTGTGGTTTTACTCATGGTAACCCAAACTAAACCAACCCCATCCCACCTCCGCCCCCACATGTCCACACCCATCAGGACTCCACCAACTTCCTCGACTCAAACCCATTGGTCCTTCGCCTTCATACACACCGAGAACTTTTTTGTATGAGTCACAGTGAGTGTTTTGGCTTCATCCCCCCTCCTCCGCCCCCCACAGGGAAACAATCAGCCGTATTTCACTCTGTCATGTCGTGTGGAATCTTCTCGGTCCTGTTTGGTGTGTGCTGCTTCTGGGAGTCCAACAGGGGGACCTGCTGTCCTCCCCCTAACCCCTCAGGTTGAGAAGCACGCACCAACATGGACGCCAGTCCATGTCCTCTCCCTGGACGGTTTTCATTGTGGTGTATATTAGCATTAGGTAATATAGACCTCAATGCACTTTGCTTTGACTTGAATCAGCTCCCTCCAGTGTACCTGTGTAGGTCATGCCCAGTACTAGTCACTGGAGGGCGCCAATGTCTTAAATGTGAAACACTTCAATTTGTGGATATTTGCACAGGTACTTTATTTATTTTTTAGAATAATATCATTAAAAAAAACAGGATTTATATCAGTCAGTCGATGGCTGTATATAAAATATATGAATATAGTATATATCTTAGAGCTCAAGGTTTATTTATAGTTAGAACAAGGGAAGTAATTCTAGATTAAAACTGTTTCTGTCAGTGACATGGGGGAGCAAAACTAACCTGCAATCCTGCATGACTTCAGAGTTTGGATTATGATGGGGGGAAAAATGAACTGTGATGCACATCTTGGATTGGAGGCTTTATGAAATGCAGACGCCATCAGTTTGTACAAGCTAATTGTTCAATGAAGCTCCAGCTCCCCCTCGCCCTTAAACCTTCCCCCCTTTTGACAGAAACAAACAGAAGGGCTCCAGTGAGATACAGTGACTTTCTTCCACCTCGTTGTTTGACGATAAGAGATTTAACTTGAATTCACACAAATCCTGCTAATGCCATGACACGGTTAAAAAGCCCAGAGTTGCAAGCAAGCCATAGAAAAGCTATACTACTGATGTGTGATCTTAAATGTGTGTGGGGAAAAAAAGAAAAGATTATACCTTCGAGTCACACAACTCAATGTTATTGCTTAAGATGGAGTGACGTTGTCTTGAAGTGTGAAGAATTACTGTGAAGACTTTTTAAAGGAGTATTTATTGGTGGGAGTTCAGAGGAAGAGAGTCCGGTCTGGTTGTTGGGAACAGAACAGTATTACAAGCTCAGTTGGCTCAGTGTTTTACACCGACTTCATTTCTAAAAGGATTTTCAGAACAGCTGATGTTGTATGCAAAACAAACGTAGGAATAGTCACAGTCTGACTCTGTTCTGCTGTTAAATTTCTTCCCACAGAAGCAAAATTGTAAACTGAGACTGGGTGGTTGTGGTATCTGAAGAGAACATGGAGCTGAAGTTGAATAAAATTCACTGATGTTGGCGTTATTGTCATTTTGTTTTTGTCTGATGTGAGTATTTTCCCTGGTTCTGGGTCGTTTGTTCCTTTCTTTCCCCCACGGCCGACCACTGGCTCCCATTTGGTGCTTCTGCACAGTCATTATACAACAGGGTCAGGATTCCCACGCATTCTGGAAACGCCTGGAATTAGATTTTTAGTAGTTTCTAGGTCAGAATAAATGTGGAAAAAGAAAATACTTCCTTTCATCTGGCTTCCCTTAACTCCTTTATATTTCCATCATACCCTTCGTTCCTTTCTTGTCCCATTTCTCCTTTCCCTCTGTGTGTTTCCTTTCTTCTGTCCTGCAGTCCTTTTGTCCCTACTCTCATCTCTCTGTCATCATGATGTTTTACTTCCAATCCTTTTTTGTGTCTTTTCCTTCTTTGTTTTTCTTTTATTCCTTCCTTGTGTCAATTCTTCCATTTGTCTCCAAACGCTTCCTTCCTTTCACCATTGTGTTGTTTCTTCCTTTCGTATCATCTATTCTTTCCTCGTCATGTATTCCTTACTTTCTTTCTATCTTTGCTTCCTTGTGTTTGTCCGTCCATCCTTATCTACCCAATGTATAAAGCTATCGGTTTAAGGTAACCTTCAGTGTTTTGCATTTCAAAATTAACGTAAAGTGCTGAGAAACTTTTACATTAAAAATATGTAGGAATCCTGGAAACATACTCAGAAGTTTTGTGATTCAGAATATAATAATTATCGAATTTTGAGGTCATAAAATGATATAATATTCGCCTAAAATGTACCAAAACATGCAACAGATTCCACTACTGCTTACAAGCCAAACTGGATGAGCAAGATGTAAAAGAAAAGCTCCTTTGTTACTTCATTAAGCTTGTGTAGGAAAAGTTGGCTGCAGTAATTGCTTGCTAAGTAAAGCATGTAATTAATGGGCCATTTCTGAGTTTTACCGATTGCCTTAAAAGCCAAAGGTTTGGATAAATATGTATGTTAAGTATAACGGCAAAGACAGTCGCTAAAGCAATTTCCAAACAATGTAGAGTCTCAACATTAAACAGAGGGCAAGATAAGTCAAACTGTAATGACACAAAAAAGAGCTAAATCTCAGATTCTACGGGTCGGAGTTGGCTTAGAAAATATTTACATTCATGACATAGCTAAAAATTATGTTAAACAGATATATGGTAACTGGCTTCACAAGCTGTCCTTGTTCGTCCTTACTGTAGCCGACTGTCTTTTGAACAAGAGAGACAAAAAGGTTTGGTACAAACCAAAGAGCTCAAGGTCAAGCAGGGCCATTGTGATGTTTGTGTCGGACAATGAATTCATATGTCTAATTGAGGATTGCACAGTCAAATTTTAGCCTGTCTGTCTGACAGCTGAAGCTCATCTGAATCCTAATCATCTATATAATATTTATTCCAGAATAGCAGCAAATCAACAGCAGCACGACCATAAAAAAAGTCTGATTACTAAGCAGCAGTGGGACCTTATGAGGATTATCCAGATGAACTGAAGCAACGCCAGACCAAAAAACATCAACAACAATGTAAAAGCCTGAAAAGTGGTTAGGAGAGTCAGCTTTTTAGAGTTGGAGGCAGAGCTGCTAAAGTCGGCACTACAAACTTGCATATCGTCACCTTCCTAAACTAATAGCTTATGTCATTTTTTTGCCAAAGGTGATTTTGGAAATCACCTTTGGCAAAAAAAAAAAAAGACAATATACTAACCAACTGACGGAAACCAATCGGCAAACAAAAGTACTCTGAACATTTCATAAAGGGGCACTTTTTATTGAACAGTGTGAACAGGTTTATTAATCATCACTTTTTATTACAAAAAGTAGGTGATGCCACATCTGCCAGGAGAGCCCAGCTCAGTGGAGGTTGATCCCAGGATATGTAACCAACCGTCTGGGGAGAACGTGAAAAAAAAAAGTTCAAAATGATCGAGAAAAGAAAAAAAAAGCTGGAAGGAAGGAAAGAGTTTAGCAGAGGCCAAAGTCTCTAGGAGAGCAGCTGTTCTCTGCACACCCATCAGCTGGCTCGATTGCACATGAATGGTCACAAGAAAACAGGAAGATTGTCCCTCTTTACTTCTGGGCGGGGATCATGCCGTCAATGGCCTCTCCCTTCTCGAGCTTCTTCTCCATCTCGACCATGAGCTTGACGCCGTCAACCACCAGCTGGACCTGCTCCACCTCAGAGGAGCCCAGACGGTCAGCGTTGGAGATGTCAAACACGCCACCCACGGACGCAGTGTCCACACCGCCTAGAGCAGGACAGAAAGGGATGAGAGACTGAAAACCAGATCTCTGCACTCTGTTAGGATCTTACTCCAGTGCTGATCTACAAATAGTCAAAGCAGTGCGGTCTGTTAGTACCTGTGCCACGCTTCTGCAGGCGCAGCCTTGTGAGGATCTCCTCAAATTTAGGATGTGTGCTCAGCTTGGGCAGCTTGACGTGGACGCCGCCACGCAGGCCGGTGCCCAGGTTGGAGGGGCAGGTCAGGATGTAGCCGAGATGCTCGTTCCACATGAAGCCATGGTTGTGTTTCTTGAAGATCTCCTCAATCTTTTGAATCATGGGAAGACAATTAGGGCAAAATTATTTCTTTGTTTTCAGAAAAAGACTTAAAAAAAAAACTAAAAATCCTCTCATCACCTACCTTCTGCAGGCCAACGCAGAAACGTCTGAAGACTTCCCTCATGTTGCCTCCCTTCTGCATGGAGATGACACGCAGGTGATCCTCCTCGTTTACCCAGACCAAGAAGGTCTTGTTGTCATTGTGCCTAAGAGGAGACGGAGAAGAAAAGACAGAAAAAAAATGGTAAATGGCTTATACTTTTAAAGCACTTTGTCTAGTTCAGAGGACCCCAAAGTGCCTTGTACTACATTCAGTCATTCACTGAATGGTGGTAAGCTACCACTGGGGAAGTCTGACGGAGGCAAGGCTGCCACCCGGCCCTCTGACCACCAGCAGCAGGCCGGCTGGTTGAAGTGCCCAAGCAGACAACAACTAAAACAGACGGAGCAGGGCTTCAAACCAGCAACCCACCGATTACAGGAGGAAGCCCCACCTCATCACCCCTACTGAAGAAACATAGAAGTGGTCATGGGCGTTTTCGGTGAGTGTTTTGTGTAGTCTCAAGGTTATCTGGGTGCACTGACCAGATGCCTCTGCCGTCGGGCCAGTCGCGGGCCATGCCGGCGCAGGTCAGCAGGGGAGAGACGGGCTTGTCAAACAGGAAGTGATCGCTGATCAGCTGCTCCTGCTCGGCGTCAGTCATGGACTTCAGGGGATAGTACTTTCCCTTGAACTCACCGTCCAGGCTGGTGAGAGCTGCAGGGGCAGACAGTGTGTCAGGGCAGCTTAAGCAAAGAGAGACGGTGTTAGTTTTTGGTCACCTGACAGCTAATTATTATTAAAAGAACAGAACATGTTTCTTCTGAGGTTTCTCTCTGGGTTCACCATTTCACACAACCCAAACAGTTGTGTCTAGGATTCCCTCTAGTTCTCTCAAACTAAGTATTGCTTACCCTCAACAGCCAGCTTCTCGATAGCTCTACGCTCGCCACGGCTGTTGTGGGGGGGCAGGGTGTATCCCTTGATGCTGCGACCAGTACGGACACGGCTGGACAGGACATAGTTGGGGTCCAGGTCATCACCACCCTAGTGAAAAAGTTGCAGTTCATTAGGTCATCTCCTATGTAGATGGGTTTTAAGAGTCACTTTGCTGTAGAGCTTCAGGCACCTTCAGGTTCTCAAAGTTGAGGTCAGTCTTGTGCTTGTCAGTGGGCTTGTATCCACCATGACGGTCGGAGATGACGGGGTCAAGAAGGTCCTTGAAAACCTCGTATGACTCCTCGTCACCAGCGACGCAGCCAACAGTCATGATGAAGGGGTGACCTGAAGCACAGGAGCAAGTGCAGGAGGACAGCGTGAAGTAGATTGCATGGAACTGGTTCTGTTGAATCATATTTGACTACCAGCATCGCCGTCTCTCTCACCGGGGTTGTCGACACCAGTCTGGATCACATCATCCAAAGTGTAACCGCTTGGTGTCTGCTTGTCCCTCAGCTTGCCATATATCTCCTTGGTCAGAACCTTGGCCATATGGTTGTTGTGCTTGGACAGGTCTGGGAACTCCTCCTCAACTTTGTAGTTGAGTTTGAAGTTGTTGTGGGTGTTTCCGAAAGGCATGATTGCTTTCTAACACTACAGAAAGAGGAAAACATTCATTTAAAAAAAAAAAAAAAGATAGAAACACAAACCTTCATCTTGGGTCTATCATAAGTGAACACGTAATATGCCTCGATGTGAACGGAATCATAATTTATGATTTAGGTATTCTCTGGAACAGCTGCAAAATTTAAATGGCGCCTGCTGTGGAATCCTGGTAACATGTGTCACTCAGACTCAGGCTCAGGTGTCACGCTGAAATGGAGGGTTAGATGGAGCAGCGCCTGATCTTTGGGTATTTTTAGCTCGGGTGCATCTGACTGTATACCCTTTATGTACTCACACTACACAGGCAGTACCTTAATAATCTGTGGGCAAAAATACAAAGTTTTGAAAGCATGTCTCACACCGCTACACCAGATCAGACGACTGTGAGAGTATTACTCACAGGTGTCATTGTGGTGAGCCTAAGATAGAATTTTAACAAGTTAGAGACACGTTTCTATTCCGAGACCTCGCCCACCAGAAATATTCACTTTACTTTGAATTTTACTTCTGATTTCTCTAGTTGTTGTTCACTGCAATACATTTTTACTCAACATAACTGTTTAAGTTTAGTTGTTATTTTATAAGATTAAAGCTCATAAAGAAAAGCTGCCAAAACAGCTTGTCGGTTTATAGATTGCTTATTAAACATGCACGTCCCCATTCATTGAGAGAGCACTCTCAATATGACAGAAATATCTGCAGAACACCTTTACTAGGACCTAAATGACCTAAAGTATTATCTCAAGTCAGCTTCACTAAACACAGATAAGTGGCAAAATTCAGTAA